ATTTTTGTAAGCTTTCGGGAAATTTTCTGAAGGCTCCAGGCCCAGGTAGGGCTGAACGGAAGTCATGTGAAGTATGCTTGATCGCAGAGACTTCCAAGTGCGTTTGAATTGGCTTATGATAATGAGAGGGTCATAATGAAGTGAAAGAATCCCATTTTCCACGATTCTTCCCTCAATTTGATCACTTTCATGAAAAATCCTGAAGAGGGAGAAAGAAATCAAAGGAAGTAAGATAAAAAAGAAAAAAATAGGAGAAAGGAGAGAAAAACAAGTTAGAAGAGAAGTATTTTCAGATCTTTGAGGAGCCGCCTATATACAATGCAACAACCGATTCGTTGAAAATCTACGTTAGATGGACGCTACCGAGGTTAACCATTTTATTGTTTATTGTAAGAGTAGAAAAGCAACGATCGACAAACCCACTACCAGTGCTTGTCTGTTGAAAGCATATAACTTTTGCATATTACTTACATGTAAGAGTAAAGAAAACATCACAATGTAGCGTCCCTTCCTCTCTTCCTTTTCCACTCTCCGTCTCTTTATTTTGAACACTATATCTGGTTTTGATGAGGTAGCCGACGTTCGCTAAGTATAAATGCGACTTTGGAGGGTCAGCGCCGTTTGTGCTATTCCACTTAGGCGTTATCTTACTGTAATGAACTGTAGCGTTTTAATAATAGTCTTATAATGCATAAATCTTGTCTACTAAATGAGCGATTGCATGGTTTAGGGGATATTCCGATTCGGATATCTATGGATACGAAGCTCCGGCATTATACCCTGTACAGTGTCATGTATCTGAAGATGATCTCCCGCAACCGAAAATTGTAAGTTGGAGCTTAGGTCAATGCAGGAAAGCTATCATAAAAATGCCTAGAGATAGCGAGTGAAGGTAAATTGTCAAGCTGTCAACACAGACACTGACCAGGAGACGTCACTGGGTAGCCTATGAAGTCAATTCTAGAGCTTCTACGAGCTCGTTCGCTCTATAAGTCGACTTTAGTATATTTTTGCAGTGTAAGCCTTACAAAAGCTAACTTTTTTTTCAGCTGGCTGCCCCTTGCACCATGCATATACTTCTTTATCCAATACCCCGATCGTTCATCAAGATAATATCTGCCTTAAACATTTAGCTGTTCCGACCTTCAAAGCTTTTTTCGATCCATCATTTTTTTCTTTTACTGTATTTTTCGTTTTTTTTCTGAGTTCCCAATATTAACGTCTGACTTCATTTCACTATTTCATTGTTAAGGAGATTGTGAAGGCTGGTGGTCGGCTGGTTGTCTTGTTACCGCCGTCTGTCCTCGAGGCTCGATGTCGTCTATGGGTAGAAGTTCGAATGCTACCGAGGTGATCTATCGAATACTCAGAACAATTTCTTTTGTTGTTTATCAGATCCAGCTTTTCCACTCTACCAAAGAGAAATTCGACTGAGATAGTCTGCTTACGCGTCACTGAACTCATCATACCAAAAACCTTCTTCGGCCGCCACACTACCTCCTTCCTTAATCTCCTCATAGATATCTAGCTAATGAACTGAATGAAGTTCTATGACAAGACGCCCCAGGCTGACCGGAAGTATGTCACAAAATGCCAGCTGGAAAAACAGTTGTGTAGGCAATACCAGGAATTGGTAACTCATCCAGAATCAGGGAACGTTTGTATGAGAGATTCATTCCTGCCAGTAGGGGGCCTGGAATGGGATCCAATAGGGGCCTCAACCCTATTGGATCCCATTTTTCCAAGGGGTCATTATACCAAACAGTCTATGGTTCACCCCTGGATAGTGATCCGCAGCGGCTCTGTTCTTCCGCCCATGATTTATCAAAATTCTTTTTTCCCATGAGTGAATCACTCAGAAGATCGAAAATTCATTCGAGATCTCCTTGTGCAGATCTGGATGGCGTTTGAAAACTGTTAGATTTCAGATGCGTTCGTCTCGAGCCCTTTAACATCCAGAAGAATATAGAGATCGATTGCCGTCGAAACGCGGATTGGGACATCTGTAGAGAGAGTAAGTGATGGAGCTCCAGCACATAGCAATACCTACTTTTGAGCCCCACCTAACCACTATAGCAAGCCGTAGTAGATGTTATGACATTGTAAAGCTGTGAAGCTTATCATAGGAAAGATATCTTCAAGTAGTTATAGTGTGTTGTAGTCAAAATTGCTCGCTTCAAAGCCTTTGGTAGAATCCTCGAAGCTTTCATAATTTCCAGAGGTCGATCCCGTTTGTATGGAAATACAGGACATCAGTGGAAAGAATGGCCAAGCAACTCTCACTTGGTTCCCACCACTCCGGTCTCCTCTTTACTACCATGTTCGCTATGGTCCTGCACAGATCAAGGTCAGTCGATAAGTTCCTTTTCCTGATGAACACAATTTTTTGGAAGGAGCTCCTCTAAACCGTTTCAGGGCAATCCTCCTTCGGATACTTGGCAAATCGACTCGAAGAGAGATGTCAGGGTCGATGCCACTGTGTCTAGTGTGACGCTGAACGTATTCGAAGACCAACCGTTCGGGGTTCAAGTAAGTCCTTTCCCTTTTTCCCCGAAAGACCCTATCCGAGGTCTTCATACTTATAAGAGTTCCAATTAAGGTGTGCGCTATTTTCAATCAACTTCGCAAACGACCAAAATTCAGTTTGGCTCGAGTTACACCATTCCTTTGTACCAGCTGCAAGAAGACGCGTAAGTGATTTGTAGAACTGGGGAATTCAAAGGCTTCATAGCTGATTTTCAGCTTCTGTAGCCACCGGTCGGAAGAGGCTGAACGTTCGACGGAATACGCCGCTTGCACCTGCATGGTCTACGGGTCCGCTTTTACCCTGGCCTGCCAAAAACAACACCTCCCAAGATATATTTGCCGGTTAGTTTCAACAAGATTGGGATTCAGCTAAGGGTATGGAAGCAATAACTTTGATCTGTGCTCAACTAGACATTCATTGGCTAGTCAGGATCAAAGGCATGGCGTAATCTTCCACTGCTAGATGACTGAAAACTTCTACCTACACTAGCACCCGTCGAGATAGTGAATTGTTCATTAACAACGGCAGACNCCATTAGTACAAAATGCTGATGAAGCGACCAGTTACTGTATGGTAATGTCCACAGCCACTCCTACTGTGATAGCAGAGTTTTCTACTCAAATTTTACAGCCACTGATGAAGACAGTCGATGTGATGAATGCGTCAAAGTGAAACTGAAACATCCACTTCCGACTGCCCACGAGAGGAGTTGGACGGATATCGTCAAATCTCGTGATCCTGTTCAACCCCACAAGGCCAAAGTACTTCCTTCCAGGGATTCTTCGGATCGAGTAAGTCAGATATTTCGATGCATTGTTTGTAACAATCCTAGGACAAGAACTTTGTTAAATAGGAAAGAAAGAACTCAGCAAAAAGGGAGTCGTCAATGTTGATACACATTTTCCGTACGTGACAAACGGTAGCGAGATTGCCGGAGATTTTCCTATTTATACTCTTTTTCTCCTTTCCAAGTCTCCAATCGCTAGCCGCCCAGGTCAATCAAATCTTTCATCTCTCCGGAGTCGGTTCATCGGTATACGACTCGTCTGGGAGGGTAAAGACATTACAGGGGCAGGCCACTGCAATTTAATGCATAAGTCCCATACAGAAACTGGGTTAAATAATGATAAGAAATTCATCGAGTTTTTATTCTATCAGTAATTCCTATCAGCAGTGGAAATACAGTTTCCCTCATTGGGATCAGTTTTACCAATTAGCAAGAAAGTTAGGTAACCCACATATCACCACCCCCTTGGTTGATCTCACTACTCTTTGAGGCTTCTGAAGATTGAGGATTTGGAAGGGGACACTATTAGACAAATTCGCCCACCAGGAGTTTCTGTATCCGTTCATTTTTAATGATGTTCTCTTTGAGATCATACCATCTCCGACAGTTTTCCGGATGGAGGCAGACCTTCTGGTGGGAAGAGACGGACAAGCAAGACATTCCGTCACGAACGTTTCTTTAGCTCAAGTAAATATGGTAAGTAGCACGTCGAGAATTTCTTTTGCCAATTTTTGTTTGCATGTTTGCAGTTTTTCCTTCCAAAGCGTCTTCCCTGTTTGGAGAGAAGGTTGGGGGCATGGCTCATCCTCTCTGCGTGTCATTTCTTTTAAAAGTCCACGTTTTTCAGTGTAACATATGAAGGTGTTAATGATTTCAGCATGCACCAGATGCACCGATAGCCATCGAGAAAGCCGAAGAGATAAATTTATTGGCAACAACCCTTACTGTATCATCTACTCCTGCCACAGAAACCNCCACTGCCTCCATTACTCCCACGCCTACGACATCAGCGACGACCACTTCTGAAACACCAGCAACAGAGTGGGAGGAATCGCCATCAACACCGGCGGAGGAATCGCCATCAACAGAGACTACGAACGCTCCCACAACGACATCGCTCGAGGCCACATCAATGGAAATGACCACTGAGACGGACGAAGTCAAGACCGATACCCCAGCAGACATGAATGTGATCGATGTCGTAGCAGACCTTATGCACTCAGAACCAGATAGGCCCAGAACAACGGCGGCTGACCCCTTTACTGGGACTACTCAGAGCTCACAGCTGATGGCAACCGAAATACCAGAAATGTTGGCCCTGAATGAAACGAGTCTGGAGAGAGAGGAACTTTCAAGGAAGCTGGATGAAACCATAACTAATCTCGAGAAGGCTTTGGATGATGCGGGTATGAGCAGGTAAGTCTCCTTCAGGGAACAAGCTTAAGGCTATCCACTTGGCTCTCAAACATGAACTTGCTTAGGGAATTCAAAGTGGAAGACTTGGCTGTGGAGCCGGCTGTACTCAATCAAACTTCTTTGGAAGAGGAGTTCATAAAGAAAGCGACATCGGAGCTAATCAGTAGGGTCAGTTTTGTCCCATCGGAACTTCCTCCATATTTTTCGCCCTGAAATTGAGCGCAGGTATTCATTTCAGCTTGAGTCGTCTTCAGCCGAGGTGAGGCATCATGAAAAGAGCAAGAAATGCCTTTTAAGCACTGGAATTGTATGTAATTTTGGCTGCAAAACGTCACGAACGTAAGATTTCCCATACAAAACCGTTTTTCATTACCATAATGTCACTGCCAGTTTTCAGATGTTATTGCCCACCTACGACCCACATTCTATCACCTGATGGTGGTTGTGTTAGTCATGATTCGTTCGGAAATGTGTTCTGCTTACCAGGCATCGAGGTCAATGCTACCTGGGACC